TTAGTAGCTCCGATAGATGGTACTGTCGAGATCTTCACCGATAGTCAAGTCTGCATCTCTAAATGGAACAAGCTAGAAAAAAAAGATCCTAAAATGATATACAAAAGATGGCTAAAAGAAAAGAATTAATCATTATAGGTAAGAATGCTAGATCTTATAAAGAAAAAGCATATCCAACTAACTTTGACCAAGGTTAAAACCCACTCTAATGATCCATGGAATGAAGAAGCAGACTGACTGACCAAAGAGGCATTAAATCTACTGCAATAGAATGGAAGAGTCTCAAATCAAGCAAAATATTCACAGAAACTATGTGGCAAAAAGAAGTAATAGATAGTCCAATACGACAGTTCATCAAGCAAATCAATAAAAGATCAATGGCTCTATCATGGACACAGCAATACAGAACAGAGACAAAATAGTAGCACCAAGTTCATAAGCATCAAATCTACTCATGGAATCTGGTATGGGATAGGTTAAAAGATGAAAATATATGGAATACCTCCTTCAAAAGCTCACAGAGAAGAAGTTTCCTAGTTAAATTGACCAATGATAAATTACCTATCTTAAGCAAGCTAGTAATAAGAAGACCAGACCTATACAAGTAAGCAAGATATATAGCATATAATCAGCACCAAGAAACAATAGAACACTTATTAGAATGTTTTGATCACAAGATTGAGATTCTAGTGACATAGTGAAAAGGATCTAAGACTTTTCTTAAAGAATTTGACAAGTTGTATCAAGAACGTAAAAGAGAAGCGGATAAAAAAATAATACAACTAGTAGTTGACAATAGAAAAGAAAAAGGTGAATTAGATAAATGAGCCTCCAGACTAATAGAATCAGCCTCGCAAACCAGTTCAAGTACTCTTAACTTTTGCACAGGATTAAAGAAACTGACACAATCAAAGAAGCTGTTAATCTAAACTGTTATGAAAAGAAGCTGGGAACAATGGCAAAAAAATGGATTTTAAAAATACAAAAGAAGATTTGCAACCAGATCTGAAAACAAGTCTGGAATGTGAGATGTGAAAAAATTATGAAATGGAAACAAGAACAAAGAATTGATAGAAGAGCAAACTATAAGAAAGCCCAGGAAACAAGAAGACAGGACCCGCAAGACAATTTTAATCATAAAAGCACAAGGCAAAAAGAAGAAGGAAAAGAGAGAGAAAACAAAAGCCTGATAAAAATTATAAGAAATAGAATTAAATATAGGATGAAGTGGTTGGGATTTTGATCCTTGTCAGAATATTGTGCAGTGATTTGCAGTAGTGACCTGTGGGTGATGATGTTAGAAGTTGAAAGGGTTTCCAACTGAACTATTAATGGAGTGATAAATCACTCCCGAAGTTGCACTTAGAGTCCTAGATAAATAGACTTTGATGAGTGAGTTAATTAGAGATTTAGCTTTAGCGACATATATATAATGTATAGCTTATAATTGTTTAATAAAGCACACATAACTAGCCAGACAGAGTATTAAAAAAAAAAAAAAAAAAAAGTAATATAATGAATAATATATAGTATAACATAGTATGTAACTCCAAATTGTAATATAATATAATGAATAATAGTATAATATTGTATGCAACCTTGAATTGTATTAAAACAATACAAATAATTTTATTTAAATATCCCTTTAATTTGATTTTTTTTTTCCAATACCTAAAATATCTGAACAAAAAAAACCAATTGAATGCACTTTTTACAGAGAACAATCACTTTCACCTTTGCAGCCTTCACAACCTTCCCTGTTATCACAAACTTCCTTCGCATCAACTGCATCAGAAGCGACAACAGTTCATTCAATAATACCTGAATCTTCAATCCCTACTATGACTGCCGAATTGCTTAGAAGAAGGCCATCTATTGTATTGCCTGAAATATTGGTATCTGATATTGCGCGAATATCAATGCCAGAAGTTGAATTGCCACCCAAAACTTGAACCAGGGAGAATATTGAAAATGGTTAGAATTAAATTATTGCCAAATTATTAAAAATTACCTTTATTAACCAAACAATTTATTTAGAAAACGAAGAATTACATGTGCAAATCAAAACACTAGAAAGAGAAAATGCCAAATTTGTAAAACAATATGACCTAATGAAATATATTAACAACAAGTTTTCAAAAGAATCAAAATAGCAAAAAAATAAAATAGAAGATTTAAAAAAGGAAATTGATTGGCTCAAATCTGTGAAACCTGAACTTGATCCTATAATTGTTGTAAAATCTAAAACAACCGATATATTAGAATCTGAAAGTTTGCCGAGTTTAGGAAAGCGCCGAAAAATTCAACCTAGGAGTAGTAATAAAGAGATAAAACTGGTAAAACCGGTTACCGAAGATGAGCTGAAACCAGAAGAAGTAAGAGCAGAAATGAAGGCCTTAATGAAAATCATTTCTGACAAATATAAACTAAGGGTAGATGAAGTTTTTTCAAGTGATGTAAATAAAAAAATATTACAAAAGTTGTTACCTGAATTAATAAAATCCATGATCCCACGTTTTAATCCCTCACAAAAGCAAATAAACGAATGGTTAGGTGCATTACATCACCATCAGAGAGAAAGATATTGGAAGGCAAAAACTGGAAAACTGGAAACAGACAATTGTTGCTTACATGCAAATAGTTGATTAAACGAAGTAAGATTAATAATATTCTACATTTATACTACCTTCAAGTATTAATTTTTAACAAATAATTAAGAAAAGGGGATGAAGAATTAAAAGCATACAGTCATTTATTAAATGAAGGTCAAAGAAAGTTATCAAATATCTGAATGAATTAATTAATGTAATTAAAGAAACAAAGGTATATTCACCTGAAGAAAGTGACACTGATTTGGGAAACCCTACTAAAAGAAGAATAAATGTATATAATTACAGTTAGCATTCTGAAGAGATATTTTTCAACAAAATATTATATACTGAATAATTATAATATTAATCATAATTACTATAGTTAAAAAATTTGTTAATATATTTGGATGAATATTCGAAATCAATTCAAGTGTTCTAGCCAACTCGTAAATGATATCATGATGATTCATATTTCTATGACGTGACATCACCAGAAGGTTTGCCGAATTAGATATACAGTTTGGAAAAAACTTCAGAATGTGAATAGAAAAAGAAACAAAAAAAGGAAAAAAATCAATAGATAAATCAAAAAGACGAAAAATTACCGAATATGAGAAATCATTAATATATTTAGAGAGTAAGAAACAAATTGGAAAAAGTATACGAATGGGTGAAATTTAGAGAGTAGTTAGATTAGAAGAAAAAAGCGAAAAATCTCAGAAAATATTCGGCAAGGTAAAACTAATTGGGGCTAGTTTTAAAAGAGTCAAGCTGAGATCTTTAAAGGAAAAAGAAAAGCAAATAAAAAAGGAGGAAGAGGAAAATGACGAATAATTTAGTTAATTGAATTTGTAATTTTTTAATAAATTTCATGAAATTTGAATTTTTTGTTACAATAATTTTTTTGCTAAATTTTTTTTTCACAATAATTTTTTTGCCGAATTTTTTGCCATAATATCAATTTTTTTGTCAAATTTTTTGCCACAGTATCAATTTTTTTGCCAAATTTTTTGCCATAATATCAAATTTTTTGCCAAATTTTTTGTCACAGTATAAATTTTTTTGTCAAATTTTTTATCAAAAAAATTTTTTTTTTGTTACAATATTACCAGATTTTGTGCCGAATTTTTTTTTTGCAAAATGCTAATATTTTTAATGTCAAGTGGCAGCAATTGTAAATAATTCATCAATATTTTTATTATTAATTTTTGTCAAATTCGACAATAATTTGATAGCCGAATGATATAATTTTGACTAGTGATTCTTACTAAAGATAATTGATTGACTAATATGAAACATGTTAATTTTTAAAATATAAACAAGTTTCTATTGGTTACATTAATGTTTTAATGATATTATTGATAATTAAAAAAAAATCTATAAAAAAATTACTTTTTAACTAAGCAAGTTTCTAAAAAAGATAGTTATAATATCAAAAAATAAACAAAAAATACAAAACATAGTATCTTTATTTTTTAATTAAGTCCTTTAGATAATAAAAAGATTTTTTCAAAAAAAAAATTGAGGTTTTTCAGCTTTTATCTCAATTAAGCAAAGTTTTTATAAAGATTTCTTTATTACAGTTAAGTCAATTCTATTGTAATATAATGTTAATATCAATAGTATAATAAGTAAATCTATATATTAGTAAAAGAATAAGTTCTTCAAACATTATTCTTGAAGTTTTTATACTTAAGAATAGTTAATTTTTCAGATAGTTTAAAATTCAGAAAATATTTTAATCAGATAAATCTTTTTTAAGAAGAGATTATTTACTTGAATAAAAATTTTTAGAAGACTATAAATTGGTTTCATTTTTTTTTTTCCCTTTTCCAATATATAATTTAGCAATTCATTGTTTTTCAAGATAATTTATAGTGACAAATTATAAATGATGATTCTGATAGATAAAAATTCTAACCAATCTATCAGAAAAGTATAATGTTATTTCTTAAATCTGACTTTATTTTGTTTAATTCAAACTAGCTTAGTAAACTTCTCATATTTTTAAATAGTGTAATTTTTTAACTAGATATCTATACCATAATTGCGAGTTAAAAAAAAAAAAATAATAAATATCCAGTAATAAGATCTATTAATAAAAAATACTTACCTGAAATAGGAAAATCGCAAATTAACACAATCGTAAACTTGACCAATGATGTGTCGTGTCACCTTACTTAGATTCTAATCCAGCTACGGATGTATTACAAATTTGCATCTTGAGATACCAAAAAAAAAAAAACAGATTTTTTTTCTTCCATCCGTCAAGTATGAGTAAGTAAGTATTATCTTCAAATTCTATATTATATATTTAACGGTGACTTGCGTCCAAATCTTAGAAGTAAAAATCTTTCTGCCCAAATCTGATCTTTCTTACTAAAAGCTTGCAATATTTTACGTTGGGAAGCTTTTGATCAGATTTCTATAAAGCATAAAAATTTTCTGAAATCGTCACATTTTTAAGCAAATTAATACTTTGATCTAACCTAAATTGAATGTGATTTTCGAAAACAGACAAGAAGATACTGAATATAATGACATCGCTGAAGGAGAGATTGAGGTGAGTCTAAATATTTATTTATGATGTTTTTTTTCTTAAAGATCTAAATTTTCTTTGTTTTATTTAGTCCAACTGGGAGGAGGTTGTAGATAATTTCGATAATATGAGCCTTAAATCTGATCTTCTTCGCGGAATCTACGCATATGGGTAAGTGAAAATTGAATTTTTCTTTTCTTTTACACATTTATGAGTGAACAGGTAAATTTTGAAAAAAAATTTTTGCCCACCACTAGATTCGAAAAACCGTCCGCCATTCAACAACGGGCCATTCTGCCTGTGATAAAAGGGCATGATGTAATTGCCCAAGCACAATCAGGCACTGGGAAAACGGCTACATTTTCCATCTCAATCCTTCAGAAACTTGATATGTCTATTAATCAATGTCAAGCCCTTGTGCTTGCTCCAACTCGCGAGTTAGCACAACAGATTCAGAAAGTTGTTATCGCACTTGGTGACTTTATGAATGTTGAATGCAATGCTTCTATCGGCGGCACAAATGTTCGCGAGGGTATAAAGAGACTTGAAGCCGGTGCCCATGTGGTTGTTGGTACGCCCGGTCGTGTGTTTGATATGATCAATCGTCGCGCTTTGAAAACCGATCATATCAAGATGTTTGTTCTCGATGAGGCTGACGAGATGTTATCTCGTGGCTTTAAAGAACAAATCTATGATGTTTTTCAACTTCTTCCTCCTAGCACTCAGGTAGTCCTTTTGTCGGCTACAATGCCAGCCGACGTTCTGGAAGTGACAACTAAGTTTATGCGTGAACCTGTCAGAATTTTGGTCAAGCGGGACGAATTGACTTTGGAAGGCATCAAGGCAAGTATTTTCTCTTAAATTATTTTAATTTTAGTTCATATTTTGTAATAGTTATTTACGAGCGGCATAATATGGCTATAATAGCAATTCTATATTGCTGTTGAGAAAGAAGACTGGAAACTCGATACTCTTTGTGATCTTTATGAAACTGTTACCATTACTCAAGCAGTTATCTTTTGTAACACGCGAAGAAAAGTTGACTGGTTAACCGACAAATTGCACGCTAGAGAATTTACGGTGTCTGCTATGCACGGTGATATGGATCAAGCTCAGCGTGATGTTATTATGAAAGAGTTCCGTTCAGGATCTTCCCGCGTCCTTATTACTACCGATCTTTTAGCTCGTGGCATTGATGTCCAACAAGTATCATTGGTAATTATTCGCAATAGCTTTATATTGTTGTTGTAAATAAATAGGTACTAACAATCGTTTTATATATAACATTATTACTAGGTCATCAACTATGATCTTCCTACTAATCGTGAAAATTACATTCATCGTATTGGTAGGGGTGGTCGGTTTGGTAGAAAAGGTGTTGCCATCAATTTTGTTACGGCAGAGGATGTAAGAATGCTTCGTGATATAGGTGCGGTTAATATATTCTATATTTTATTGTATTATTTAACACCTTCAAAAATTGTTAATAACTTGATTTTTATTGTTTTCTAATAAATAGAACAATTTTATAATACACAAATTGACGAAATGCCCATGAACGTGGCGGACCTTATTTAAATTTAAAAAAAAAAATTCATCATTTACGTATATCAAACATCACTTTTAATATCAATTCTACTATATCAGTCGAATATTTAAAAATTTATTAAAAAGAAAATAAATGGTCAATTCTAGAAAAATAATATTTTTTTTTGATAATTTAATTGGATTTATATTAATAGCATACTTAGTTTTAAAAAATTAATATTTGGTTAAATTGGTTTAAAATAAAATAACCTGGATTTTTTTAATTATACATTTATAAAAATATACAATAATTATAAATTGAATATAATTAAATTATTAAATCAATATAGTATTAGTTTATAAATTAAATTTTAAACAAAAATAATTAATAGTTTTTATATTTCAAAAATTATATATAATAAAAAAATTTTTTTTGTTTTTGTTTTTTTTTTTTTTTAATTCACAATCAGATCAACAACATGATATATCTTTATTATATATATGTTAAATATTTATAAGATTTTGTGACTTTTATATGTTAACTTACCTATTATCAAAATTTTTCTTTAGATATAACTTAGAAAATAATGTTTTGTTTCTTTATAGATTTGAATAAATCCTTAATCAGTAAAATCATTGTTTACAATATATAATAAAATTTATTAAAAAATAAATAATAAAATAGTATATATTATATTTTTTATATTTATAGTTTGCCAGTATGGATTTTTTTTTTAATCTGCAATCATGTTATAATGACTTGTTTTTATTGAGAAATTAAAATAAAATCTATAATATTTTACAGACTTTCACAATATGACTAACTTATTTAAGTTGTATTTTGAAAACAATATTACATTTATCTAATAAATTGATTATGATTTCTATCTACCAGGATTATTATCAACAGTTTGCTACTATTGATTAATCTAAAAATCAATGAATTGCTAACTTAAAAAAAAAAAAAAGAAGAAGAAAAGCAATTGAAAAAGAAGAACAATTCAAGATTCATAAAAATAAAATCAATATCTTTTCAAAAGATATTTATCTAATTGAAATCGTCTTCTTGCTTCATTTAAACTTCAAAAGAAATCTTCTTTTTCACTATTTGTGATATTGAATAAGTCAATTCAATTGATCTTTTATTTAAATAAGTATTGAATTGAAATATTTCAAGAAAAATATTTAAACCTTAGCTTTTTTTCATTAAAGTTTTATTATTACCTAAGGAATTTAAGTAAAAGACAAGAGTTTGTAATTCATATTATTCATTATTTGATCTTTTGATATTATGGAAATCTTTATTAAGTAACTTGGATTTCTAGAAATAAATATCTTTAGAACATTTTTTTTAATTATCAATAATATCCTTAGAACACATGAATATATTCAATAGAAGCTTGTTTATATTCTAAAAACTAATATGTTTTATTTTAATAATAAAAATTATATTATTCAAAATTCAGGATCAAATTGAGATAGGTAAAATTCTTCAAAATCCATGAAAGTGCAAGCTTTAAAAGAATCAAGACAGTTAAAAAAAAAATAATAAGATTTTTACTATAAAAAACCTCTATAAATCTCTCACTTTAAAAGTTAGATAGGTCTTTAAATACTTTATAATCAGGTTTTTTTTCTTTGGAAACTTTTTATTGTTAATATTAAAGGTGTTACTTGACTTTTTTTGATTATTAGAATTCATGTTTTTTTGTAAAGAAATTTGTAAACAAAAAAAAAAAAATTTGAAATGACTCTTGAAATTATATTTCAAATTGTTTTAAGAAAAGTATTAGGACTTTATTAGTAAAGAAATATAAAAACTTCTTGCAAATATCTTTTTTGTATATGATCAGAGAGAGTTTTTTTTTTTTTGTATTTGAACAATATAGTATGTTTTTTATTATTATGAAACTAATAAAAATATATTAAACAAATATATTATGACTAAATTAAATTATATACTAATCCATTTATTAATAATTTTCAATTTTTAAAAGATTTCACTTTATAATAAATTTTAAATAAATATTTTTTTAATTTAAATATTATTATAAAAATTGTTATTATTTATTATTTTTTAAAAAACTACTATAAAAAAAATAAATAAATAAATAATTTTTTTAAAAATAAAATTCTCTCTGCTGATTCTTTAATTAAATATAAAAAAGATGTTCACAAGAAGTTTTTATACTTTCTTGCTAATAAAGTCTTAATACTTTTCTTAAAATAACTTAAAGTATTACTTCAAAAATTACTACTACCCTTTCCTTATTATCTATAAACCTCTTAACTTAAAAACTTGACTCCTAGTGATTAAGAAAAGTCAAGTAATAACTTTGATACCAACAACAAAAAAGTTTTCAAGGGAAGAAGAACTGACTGTGAAGTACCTGAAGGTAATAATCCTAATGGATCAAATTAGATCAAATTTTAACTAGATTCAATTTAATCTAATTATTATAAATATGAATCAGATATAGATCTGATTCATTTTAAATTGATCTAATCTAATTCAAAATTATAATAGTTTGATCTAATCTGATTTGATTCAATTCAATTTGAAATCAATTTGAAACTGATTTGATATACTTTAAATCTGTTTCAAAACATATTCAATCATAATTGCTTTTATTTAACTGATTTAAATTAAATATGTTTAAATTAATTAGGCTTTATTTTAATAAAAAATTTTTAATTGGTATATTTCCTTTCTGAAATATTTTTTAACTTTAAATTTAAAAATTTTCATTTATTAAATTTAAAATTTATTTATTCTATTCATGATTATTAGTTTGTTGCTATATTAATATACTTCTCATTATAGCTAGTACTTTCTAAAATAACTTGATTTTTGTATTATTTTTTCTTTATTGATTTTTCAAGTATTTGCAAAGCATATTGATCTATTGATAATTGATTATATCAATAATCCATACAATATTCTTCTTTTTTATCTTTTCTTCATTTTTTTATAGCTAATACTATTTTTTTAATCAAATTTTGAAACAATCCACAAGTTATACCTTCTATTAGCAATACTGTAGTACCATGCAATTCATTTTTTTGATCAGTAATAAAGAGTATTTCTTAGTAAAAATTGTAGTAATTTGAATTTATTAATAACTTAAATTTTAATAATTTGTAAAGTTTAAAAAATATCTATTATTTCAACTTTAATTTTTTATTTAATTATGTAAAGTTGTTTCCATCAAAATCTTCTTCACTACAAGCAAATTCTTTATTGTTAATACATCATATTCCTCTCAAGCAAGTAGTTGCAATCACATGGTTCAAAAAATGAAGTCAATGTAGACAAATTTGCTATATCTTCAAGCTATATGGGCCTCACATAGATCTAAAGGATGGTTTAAATATATTTTTTTATTATCAAAAGAAATTATAATTCCTTTGTTAGTAGTATTATATTTGTTGCCATCTAGCTGGAGTAGATCATATTCTATTTTTTTTTATATACTTGAAATCACATCTTTAGAAAATATATACATAGCATAGTTGAAAAAAAAACTATTCATCACTATAACCTTTTCTTCTTGCAAATATTGACTTTCAATCCTCATAATTCAACAAGTATGTTATGCATATGGGTAAAGATTCTATTTTTTCTTGTCAAAAGATATCTGCAAATATTAATATTAATAAAGTTTTAAAAATTAAAATCTTAAGTTTAATTAAATACTATATATATACTACAATTGTTAAGGTATTTTAATTCAATTTTTTGATTTCTGATGATTGGGTAACTTATGAATACAAAACAAACATATTGATAATTGTGTTTCTCATAAATTCAAGTATATCAGGATCAATATGATTTTGGTATACAGCCAGTATTACCTTGTTTTAAACTCTATTATAGACTATTATTTCTTTTTTGATTTTTTTTTATTATTCTTGAAAAACAGGAGGCAGTATTGATTACAGGTACATGAAAAGGCAAAAGATTTATTTTTTCAAATATTCACTTTCCTTTTATTTTTTTTCATTGTAACTAGGGAGGAGATCAATATATATTGTTTTTATTATATGTATCTTTCCAAAATACTTTTGAGTTAATAAATTTTCTCTAACCTGTAATTTAATTAAATTGATCAGTTTCAAAAAAATTGCAAAAATTTTAATTTATAAAATTTTTATAGAGGTTTTTTTTTTTATTTTTTTGCATTATTAATGTCAGCTCTTAAAGCAGTAGCAGCATTTTTTAAGTCATTATCACAAGTAATCAAAAATCTTGAAAAATCTTTTCACCAGTTAATCTAATATTGTTTTATTGTTAATAACTTGAAAATATACAAATATTTTTATTATATTTATTT